CAAGCCACCAGCCAAGCAATAATATATATATATATACTCTCTCTTTTTGACAAGAGATCGTTCGTATAGCATGACAATATGAAGAAAACAGTGAACGCCATTATATTTGAGAACAAATCTATATTGAAGAGATGATTAGATTACAAACCCAGAGCACGGGAGCTCTGGTTTGTAAGAGATACGATGAATCTGACCAGTGAGGATTTCGATTTCAGGTTATACCTGGAAAACCTATTGCTCGAAGGATCAGCCAACTTGAGAACATGGTTTTGCATGCTTTATGCTTGACTATAAACGTGTTCTTACAAGTTGCAACTCTTGTTATGTTGAAACTCTAACTTAACACGTGGGTACCTACTTGGAATTATATAGGTTTGGCCTTTTATTCATTACTCTAGATTGCCGGTTGGAAGGACATTCGCAAGTTTTCTAGCTGACTTTGTTCTCCTCCAAAACCAAGCGCACAAGAATAGCATAATTACTACTAATCACCCGCTTTTACTTCCTTTTTTCTTTTTTTCAGTAATTTGTTTGCCCTTTATCATTTCTTTGTTGCGCAGATAGTACCCAAATGACATAATATTTGTGTAACAGTTGGGCATTTATCTTACACATGTATATCATAGTACATAAATTTAGTAGTGAATAAGCTTTTACCCATAGTGCTTATTATTGCTCATGCATCAATCTTTCATGCTATATATGTTACCTTTCTTTATTTTTGGTTATGTGGAGTATAACAAATTATTGTTATAACAGACAAAACTACATTAATACAAGCCTTGTTTTGGCTGTCTAAAACTTTCAGAATATATAAATATTTTATATGGATTGTTTTGGCTATGGCTTCTTCAATGCTACTTGGAAAAAGGAAAAAAAAATTTGGAAGGAATACACTTGTTTACGTATAGTCTTTAATTACCAAATCATTTGTCATTAATTTTTTGGACCATAACACCATTCTATAATAAAATCTATTAACTAGTGGGCCGTTATAGGTTTGTGATATTACTACTGTAATTATGGTGAAGGTATTGTTTAAATTTTTTGACCTGTCGAAATATAGACTAATTGAATCTTTTAACTGAAACAGTTGTCAATGAGAGCAATTCATGTAGTAATTTAACAGTGAAGTCCACATTGTGCATAATTCCTTAAAAATATTACAGAGCAGCCATCGGTATTTGAAGCTATATTTTTCTCGTTAAATTTAGGTAGCCTATGCGTTTAATATTATTTCAAAATTAGTGAGGGCCTAATAGTTATTTGCTGATTGAAATTTTAGATATTAAATCTCAGATCAATAGGTAGTTATCCTTAGTTTTATTGTGAATGTAGAACACCTTTACTTTTACTACAGATATTATGTTTGAAATTATTGGGTACAAACTTCATTGCATGAGTGATAACTAAATCACATTAGTGAGAGGGATCTTAGGCAGTTTGTGATCATTTTAAAAAAAAAGAAACATTCAACACTAACTAGCATTTAGATTCCAACTTTTGACCAGGTTGACACCTAAATTATCTATACGTTCAACTATATATTTAGTATTTTATTTTCAAGTATATCGAGTATGTGATTGGTCATTGGTGATATATATATTTGCCATTGATTGTATAATGGCATTTTGAGTTAATGTTATTGAGTCATTCCTGTGATAGGTATGAATTTTAATACTTGCAACACAATGACTTTTGGTGCGAATGATTGGACTGGAATGGGGATATTGGTAGAGGATTTACTATTTTCAAACACTTGAATTTTTTTTGACAATAATAGAGACATTAATCCTATTAAAGTTTATACCATTATAAAGATTTAGATGGCATATGGATTAATCCAAGAATGTCAAAATGCATGATAAACTTCGGAAAGAGCACTATGTTTTCTTTTTGCCTCAAAAGACATGAGACATATGGTTTTGTTAATAATGTAATGTGATGTCAAGGTTTATTTCTTATTTGATACCTTAACATTTTATGTAACCTTTGGAGATAGTTTGGATTTACGTTTTAATGTTTTATGAGAAAGATCGTACATACGAATTGTTCCAAGACTAAGTTCATATTTTTTTTTTTAGAAGTACTCCTTGAATTCAACTTGTTCAATATGTGATATGAGCCAACAATGGGGCTAGATATTCTTGCAATACGAGGGTTGATGCAAATAGTAATTTAATGAAGTATGGGTCACTTTAGCATGAGAATTCTTAGAAATGTGGGGATAAATTTTAAGGTAATAAAATATATATGAAGTACCTGTTGAATTTGCTTAATGTTGTTATAAGAGTTTTATATATATGTGGGGGAGTTTCATATCTAAGGGTTTTTCAAACAAATGCATTTTAATGTGTTGTTCGTAAGTGCTATTTGAAAGACAAGTCAAATCAATATCAATGAGAAGATACGAAGGTGTGCACACCAAGCAAGACATGAATATGTGAAGAGTAATCATTCTAATATTTATGAAAGCTCAGCTAAACAGAGTTGGCAAATGAATTAAAAAGCTTTCGAGGAAAGTTGTGAGACACAAATATATATAAAGGTTGATTAATTTGATCAGTGAGCTTTCGAGGAAAGCCTTGTTTTTGAGAAAAGTTGTCTCAAGAACTGTCGAGGGGGATGGGTCTAAGCCCGCAAGGGAGTCACCTAGGGAGGTAACCCAACTTCTGTGATTGGGGACTCCATGAAGGAAGTTCAATGGGTAGAAACAATCCATATTGTGTGACTCATTAGCACTGTTATTGAGAAAATATCCTAAGAGGAGATATTTTCATGCTCATTTTTATGGCAGAGGTGCATATGTAGTGTGACGGTAAGAAAGAGTTTTACCCTGAATGAGACCGAGGCAGGAACACTCCTGCAGGGTATTGTGCACATGTACCATTGGAGGGCTCACTTAAGTGAGAGTAGTCGTGGGCTGCGACTATGAGAATTAGGCTATTCTCTAGAACTCTCATGAAAATCAAGATCAAGTGTAAGACTATTAATAGCACTGACCCGCGAATCCTGACCAATATCGGTACTGTGTGTGTGACAGTTGAACTCTGGCTCAAAGGGTTTAGTTCAAGCTTTTGGTCACTATGATCCTTCAGAGGGAGACTGTTAACACTAAGTGAGGTTCAAGTTCGGAAGACACCTACACCCATTGCACAGTATAATAGTTGCCTATATTTTCTGTCTATTACTTTTATATAAATGTATTTGGGTCATTTTGAAGTTTTCAAAACTTGTGGGTGATTGTTAGAATAAATTAAAATAAAAGTTTTAAAAACTATACAACTAATTATTTTGTATTAATTTTTCAGTTTTTAACTTTACTATTGAAACTTAATTATTACATGTTCATGCCATTTAATTATAAAATTGATATAGGCTTAATAGTTTGGAAGTTCCATACTAATATATTTTAAAGAGTAATTAAGATGGTGTCTATAAAACAATGTGACTGTTTTGGATAGAAGATGGATAGTTTTACCATCTTTTCTATATGCTCATTTTCCAACAAGTGTTACTATTCTTTCTACATATTTCTTTTTGCATATAATTATATTTGTATACCTACAAATATTTGGTATTAGTTTACTTCGGGCAACTTCGATTCAAGTCAGATTCATCTTTCCTTCCGGTGGGCGTGATCATTGAGGAGGTGCTGTTGTGAGTGTCTGGGTTTGATCTTGGAGTCGCTGGTTTCCGTCAGTACCCTCCCGAGGGAAGGCTCAGCTACTTTAGGACAATGTTTACACGACTCTCGGAGACCAGTTTTTTCTAATTTATAATATTTATTTTATTTACTTTTAAGTACATTGTTATTTTGTATTTTGTATTTGTTTATGTGATATTGATATGAATTTATTAATTAAAATTATGTATAATTATGTTAATTTACCCAACACTAGCCACATACAGAGAAACAACCACCAAAGAGCTTGAAGAAAAGAAGGTGAACCGAGTCTTATCGGTCCTTGAGTCATGGACGCTCAACACCACCAAAAGACGAGAGACAAAGTTGAAGAGAAGCAAATAATTGAAGAAACGTCGAAACAAAAGGGCATAGAAAGCCAACAAGCAAAACCACCTTCAGCTTCTTCTTCTCCCACCCATGAATTCTCCTTCACAGTCTCTCTCCACCCAGAGGCCACGAGGATCACTGATAAACCCATGAAAGCCAAACCCAAAGCCCCTCCTTCGTTTGCCATAGATTTATCTCCAGCGGATGATATATTCTTTCATGGCCACTTCCTTCCTCTCCATTTCCTCTCTCACCTCCCACTCTCTCCTCGTTCCTCTTCCAATTCCTTGGACAGCTTTACCTTACCAATAAGAGACCTGGTAGAGGACCAAAACCCAGAAAACATTTGCACCAACAGCACCAAAATTACCACCAATACCGACGACAAAAACTTTCACCAAAGCAAAGATGTTAGAGTATGTGTGGCTCATATTTTGCTATGTGCATAATGGCAAGGAGGCAGATGCCGGAGCGTAGCCCGCGACGGCATCTGCCTTGCGGGATTTATATATAGGGGACGCTGATAAGTTGGGGGTGCGGGGGCAACACCCCCGCGGTACGGTACAGGGGTATTTTTGTAAATACGTTCATATTAGGGTTATATAAATACTTAAGATGTAACCCTACTTCAATAAGAAAAAGAACAGCCGCTCGCTCTCGTGGATGTAGGCACATTGCCGAACCACGTAAATCTCTGTGTGTTATTTTCTCCTGCTTTCTTAATTGTTTGATTCCTTACTATTCACCATAATTGCTGCACGATCACAACAAAAGATCATGGGATACTTGAGGGAAGAACCAAACCCAAATCCTTTTCTTTGTTCTTCGGCCTACAAAAAAGGCGAAAAGGCCAAGGGTGTGAAGTTAGAGAAAAAGGAAGAAAAACCGAGGCAGAAGAAGAAGCTAAAGTTGGACGTAACTCATATTCTAAAGAGGTATGTGAGAATTGTGAGGCCACTCTTGTCCTTCATAAGGAGAAGCGGACGTCGGAATATGAAATATCGCCGGCAAGCTCATTCATTTTCCGGTAACTTAAGGTCGACAGGTAGCCCGAGTTGAGAGGAAGGAGAGGGGAGTTCTCGGCACCGGCGTCGATAAGAACGTCTCCGACAAATAGTGGCCTTCTTGTAGCAACCGGAACTCTCCATACCTCTACCAGTGACAGCACCATGGAAGAGTTACAGGCTGCAATTCAAGCTGCAATTGCACATTGCAAGAATTCCATTTCAAGGGAAGAGAAAATTACATGTATATAATAGATTGGGAGATTTGGAAGTTTTCATTTACCCTTCTAGTGGTTTATGCATATTGATTTTGAAGATGGTTCATGATAGAATTGGTATTAATTCCCAATATAAAGATTCAATATCCATGTTTGTTGTTATAATGTAAACCCACCTAGATATTAAAAGTAAAACCTATAAATAGTGAGTCTATGGTATTAATATCGAATCGAGCTGAACAACTTAGCCAAAATCCGTCAGTCGCACATACTTTTTTTTTTTTCGAAAAATAAATTGTATTAGTGAAACCAAATGTACAGGGAATACCCACAAAAAAGAACAGAGAAGTCGCATAGGACTTAAGACCAAAAGGTAAACACAATTCTGTAGGGATGCCCTGTAAGTGGGTAGGGTATCACCCACAGAATTGCAAACAAGGGAATAAAGGTAAACAAACACGAAAGACTATTCAGTTCCGGAACAGCAGCAACCCAGACAGATTGGAATCCACATCTGCGTAGAACAAACCAGAGCCCCAGCAACAGAGGAAGAGGCAAGCTGGAAGACATCAATAGCACACATCAACGCAAACAAGCCATACAACAAGCATTACCACAGTATGAAACCTTTTGTACCAACAGACAGTCACCAAAGCTGAAGGGGCAAAGCAGCAGCATCGGGGATGTAAAACTCAAAAAAAAATATATATATTATTATTATTAAAACTTCTAATAAAAGGGGTAAAATAATAATTAATTGTTAAATTATGAATAAAAAACGTAAATTTCAAAAAAAATAAAAAATAAATTTATACTATATGTATATATATATATAAAAGTGGAAGACTTTGTCTTCCACTTTTGTTTCTTCTGGAGAGACGGCAAGACAGAGTGTGAGAGAGAGAAAAGTGAGTGTTTTTTTTATTTTTTATTTTTTTCTTTTCTTTTTTCTCAGTTCTATGAAGATTGGACCGTTTAATCGTTTCGGGCCAAGAACTAAAGTTGCTCTACTCAGCGAGAGCTACGCAACCACACTAAATATCGTATTTTTCACCGAAAGAATATCAAAACTGATAATTTAGGCCTAAAACTTAGGAAGCTAAATTTAGACTTTCTTGGCGTTCTAATAAGTGGGCTCACGCTACGAGAGGTAGGGTTTCTCCTATTTAGATTTAATTTCAACTTAAAATATGACATATGGAATAAATATGCTATGAGTGTATACCATATGTTAGGTCTTGACTAGTGTGAGTAGTGAGTCAAATATAAGAATTTTAATTAATCTTGTGATTAATAAAATCCTATTGTGATTAACTTGGTGTAAATTAATGTTAGTGGTTTAAAACATGTTAATTGTATATTAGCATTACTTTATATTTTAATGACAGATCAAGTTTAATAAAATTATTAACTTGTTATGTAATTATGAAATAATATGTTTGTTAAATGATTATTTGACATATGATTATTTTGGTGGACTTGTACTTATGTTTATATAATTAATAAACATGTTGTCATGTTGCAGGTCATAACATGCTAGTTGTGTAAATTGATGTATTCTTTAGGTGTTTGATTAAATGCCTAGGTGAATACAAGTATGTTAGTTGAGTTGATTATCTTACATAACATGCTTGAGATCATGTTAAAATGTCATTATATTGTATTCATTATGTAATGGACATTGTATTGCATTATGCATGAATTGCACTACATTCATGGGCATTAACATGAGTGAGAGTGTATGCATTGTATGAAATCAATCACCACATAGGTGGTTGATTGTGGGCTCGGAAAAGTCACACCAAGGTTCGGTTGGGTCGCACGAGAAACTTAAATGAATAAATGTGTTGGGAACAGCAAGAAGGGCTAGATTTTCCCTCGGGTGCAAGACCCGCTTACTTGGTTTATACACTTTCCGGCGGTGAAATTCCAGAAAAGTGTAATGGCGAAAACGGAGTCGCAGGTGGGATGTCCTGAAGATCTGTTGATGGTTGGTGTCCCATTGGTGTAATACCATAAATCACCTCCCCACAAAGACACAAGAAAATGAATTAATTAGTCATTAAGTGTACATAACACCAATGATGGGGGTTTGGAGTGCCCGGATACATATGCATGACATTGCATGTGTTATGGGAGCTCAGGATGAGGCTCAGGGTTGGTATTGCTTGCGTGAGTCTCATCTCATCTCATGTCATGACATAATTTATGACATTCGATCATAATAGACATGTTTAAATGAATGTATCAAATGATTGATGCATGTGACATTCCATATGCATTTTGGTTGAGAGGTATTCTCTATAAGAGTTACCCTATTGAGCGTTGACTCACCCTTTATGGGAACATTTTTCAGGTATCGCACAGGCGTCCACCGAAGGCGAGGCCATGGGCCCGCTTTGACGACAGAGTCGATCTGTGGCTTTTATTTTGACATTGTAGTCCCTTGTTTATATTTACTTTTAGCCTTGTATAATTTTTGTAACAAACATTTGTTTATATTTACAAATGCATGTATATGAGACTCTTTTGGGACATTTATTCTCTTACGAATAAATGTATGTACTGATAATGATTATGGTAGTATTCGAGACTATACAATGGTGAATGGATGGATAGACCTGGTGTGGTCAATATTGTACAGGTTGCGTTTTTGGTAGAACTCCTCGTACAAAGGAGACTCTGTCTAAATTTTGTTAAGTTATGGATCCTGAGAAATGGGACGTAACGGTGTGGTATCGAATTACACGGTTTTCACAAGTATTCTGCAGGTCGATGGGTGATCAATCGGATAATTACAGCCACCCGGACTTTGGGGTGTCACAAGGGAGCAAAACAAAGAATAAGTGCAAGCATTAAGAGCAGGAACATCCCTCCAACCAAGCGCCAGATGTAGGGAACCAAGAATATGAAGAGCCAGCCACCCTCTATAAAGTAATACATGAGCAGGCAAACCCAAAGAAATCACCATGAAGCGCAAGAGGGAATAAATAGAAGTAAGGAAAGACGATCAGCAAAAACCAAAAGTCATAAAGAAAATTACAGAGGATAGCCCAGGGAAGGTAGTCCCAAGCCTACCCATGAGACTGCTGAGCCTGGTATAGCAGCTCCTCCTTGAAGGACCAACACAGGTGTAAGAGAAAACCCAACAGGAAGCAGAACCAGCAGAACCATAATCCACAGAGCAACAACAGAGAAACAGTACCGAAGACAAATGTATACATTGATGTATGAACCACATTGAATGAAAGAACCATTTTCCTGAAATGTCTGTTCAAAAATAATCCACCCAAAGAAATCTAGCAGTAGCGTGTGGGTCAAAAGCAACATAGGTAGAGAAATCACCACCCACTAAGATAAAAAGAAACCATAATCCAAATATGAAATATCAGCAACCTTAACCAGCAGCAATGTGAGGTACATAAGCAAAAAGTGTAAAATAACATCAACAACAGCTAGCATGAAGGACATAAAGAAACCCAACAAATCCAACAAAGACCACCAGGAAGAAGCAACATAGGCAAAAGAAAACAAATAGTAATGAATCCCATGGAATCCCAAAGAGCAGTGCATTTGTAGCAGGAATCAGATACCACAAACAGAACAAGTACCACCCAGAAATCAGTGGGTGCCACAGGGGAGGCCACTAGGAGAGACAACTAGTTGGAAGTCTCCAGTACTAAATAGTATGGAGATTTCTGTAGGAGGGCTTGAATTTGAGGGAAGCCAGTCTACTCCAAATAGTCTGAAGGATAAGATGTGTTGTAGAGTTAGAGTCCTTGAACTGGTTTCTAAATCTTCTATTATTCCTTTTCATCCACAAATGGTAAACAGTGGCAGCCAAGCAGATTCTGCATATCAGTTTCTTCATTGATTTGCCCTTCCATTTAAGAGCATCCCATCAACAAAAACATTCCAAGGCATAGGCAGCCATAACTCCCTAGCACGTGAGAGGGTAGTAGACCAAACATAGGAGGAGTAGGAACAAGCAAAAAATAGATGGGCATGTGATTCGGGGGAGGACCTGCACAGAATACACCCAACCCCCAAGTGAGCAGCGAAGGATTGCATACGGTCGAGGGTGCTGAGTCTGTTCGTTACAGCAAGCCAAAGGATGAAACTCATTTTAGGTATAGAACTTTCGGACCAAACAAGATTATACCAGCAGACAGGGGAATCCCTTGTTCTGATTAGATCCCAGGCAGATTTGGTGCTAAAACCCATTCTGCCATTAGGAATCCACTTAACGAGTCCTCCCGAGCAGAGTTTGGGGAGTAGGGAGGCATGGAAGTGACCATTTCATGGGGGGGGGGGGGGGAGTGGAATAAAGAGGCCATTGCCACTGGTCATTGAGAATAATACTGCTGACAGGTTCCTCCAAATTGAACATTGCCTCCTCAATACCATTCATACCAACATATAAATCCAGTGGTCCCAAAGGATGCCAATTATCATACCATAGCTTTGCAGTTTGACCATTACCAATCACATGCTTGATGAGTGGCCTGGATGAGGACCTTAATTTGAGCAAGCATAACTAGTTCCAAGAGCAGGTCTGAGAAGCTTTAATTCTCCAGAAACTTCTGCCCCTTAAGTGATAGATATGAACCCATTTTATCCACAAATTTTGTTTATCAGTAAAAAGTAACCAAATATACCTCATTATCATAGCAATGTTACAATCTTTGATCCTTTTAATACCCAGCCCACCTTCCTCCTTAGGTTTACAGACATCATCCCATGAAACTTTAGCACTAGTGCTTCTCATTTCAATCCCATTCCATAGAAATCTCCTCATAAGTTGTTCAATTCTATCAATGATCTGTGGAGGCAGGAATAAGTGAGCAGACCAATAAGTATGCATGCTGTGAATGACACTCTGAATCAAGATCAATCTACTAGCAAAGGACAGAAATCTGTTAGTCCAAGAGTTGATTCTTTTCTCAATT